CGTTTTTGGGATATAAACCTTAAGTAGAACTTTTGACCACAACCAAGAAATGCCAGAAAGAAAAAATACACTAGTTTATATACAGGCTATATAATATCTATATATAAAAATCAATTGCTGTTCGTTAGTCTCGCTAAAACTCAAAAACGGCTGGATCGATTTGAATAATTCTTTTTTTATTTTGTTAGGGGTGTTTTAAAAAAGATAGGGGAATCCAAAAAAAAAAAAACTGCTGGAAATTCGAAAAGTTTTGTATGGGAATCAATAACCGCTAAAACGTACCTAGCGAAAAACCCGAGCAAAGCGAGGGTGAGTCGCTAGTCTACAATAAAAATTCTATAAATTACTAATAAAAAATGTGTACGTTTTTGTATGTAAAATTTGACATATAGACAGCATTAGTTGTTAAGTGGAATATTCTATAAAAATCCTACGTGATATAATATTAACACGCCGTCTTTTTTGTCGGCTATCACCGACTTCGAAAACATCTGATTAGGTATCTATAGTAAATGAAAGCCCCCGTTGAGTTATTTTTACATTTAGTGCCTGAAAGTGGTTTTTTTAAAACTGGTCTTTTGAAATGGAATCTCTGGAAATTTTGATCAGTCCTGTATATAAAAATGTAGACGTAAAAAATAGTTATGTTAAACGTCGAAAGGAATTTTTAAGTTACAAAGAGAACACGCATCTTTGAAGTTATGTGACATTCTAAAATTTAAAACATGCTCTTAGCAGTATGTAGCTTCGTGTGCAACACATTTAAAAATTAAAATTTTCAACAAATTCCCCGAGGAATATTTTAATTTATTTCTTTTAATGTTGTGAGACTTTAAATAAATATTCAGATTTATTTTACAAATCAACACTGAATTCTAAAACAACATTTAAAAAAGTATATTATCTGTTGTTATCCATATAATTTGTGAGATGTAAGTTTTATTAATAAAAAATTTAAATTATAAAATTAAAACAGAAAAAAGTAAAATACATCTGTACATATAATAATATTCTGAGTCGAATTTGTACATTAAATATTTTTTGGAAAATCTTATTGAAATAGTCAGCCGAATCTATAGTTTTTAGAATTTTTGCCTGTCTATCTGGGAACGCATCACGAGAAAACGACTCGACAGATTTCGATGAAATTTAGTATGATAATATCTGGTTATCCGTGTCAACATATATGATACTTTTTATTGCGGGAAAATATCTCATCTCTGAGAAATCTATACTAAATGTTACAACGTAACTAGGGACAAACCCGAGTGAAGCAAGAATTCACCATTTATAACAGTTCCCACCGGAATTCATTATTATAAGAGTTAAATAGTATGATAAATATTAACTTTACTATTGAATATTAGCAATAAACTGTGATATAAAATAGAGAATAATTGCGAACCAAACGGAAACTAAGTTCATTTAAAATTTTTACTATCTATATAAATAATATAAATGGCCTGCTGGTTGGTTTGTGTCAAGATTGCAAACGAGAGTTCTGTACAAATCATTCTAATCACTTTTATTTTAGTCCCCTACTCGGAGAAAATGGGAAGAGTAGACAAAAAATTCTAAATAATTATAATTTAAGGTTTGCTACTTCATAAAACTAATGCAAAAAGAATTTTTCAAATCGGATTAGTAGTTCCTGAGATTAATTCAAACAAACAAACAAACCCTGTCTTTTAATAATATTAGTACCTATATATAATCATTGAGCATAATTTTAATAATGTCAAAAATTACTAAGATAAAACCATTAACCCATCGTATAATCTTACAAAAGAGTTTTTATATAATTAGGTACCTAATAAAAAAAATTCTATTTTATTTAATATCTATGTTTGTAAGTTGTCAAATTTGATATTTTATGTTTGTAAACAATAATATTTATAATTTTATTTGATATGTTCTACAATATTAATATTTGAAATTGTTATGTCAAGTTTAATCACACAGCTGTATTTACAAAGGCTCGTAGGGTAACAGATAAAGGTATCGTGATCAAAGCAACTACGTAAATTGAGGGTTTCTAGATTATAAATGGGATTGCTAGATCATATCTATATTTATATATATTACTAGCATTGCCCACGGCTTCGCCCGCGTTTCGATGACCAAAAACCAAATTCTTAGGTTTTACATATTAGTATACTCTTACATTGCACTTATTGTATTTTTTCTCAGAAATGAGATATTTTCCCGCGGTAAAAAGTATCCTATATTTCGCCCCGGATAACCAGCTATAAATACCAAATTTCATCAAAATCCCTCCAGTTCAGTCTCTCCCGTGACCATGGATGCTGTAAAGCATTCGAAACGTCGGGAACCAAAAATCAAAATAAATCCGCGAAATAATCCGAAAAGATAGTTTTATTTAAAAATGTCAAACATTCGCGTAAATCTAAGAAAGTATTATCCCTCCAGTGGTTTTTCTGTTATGCAGTAACAGACAGACAGACAGACAAACATTCTAAAAACTATAGATTTGGCCTGTGTTTCAATAATAATGTTTATTTCAATGAGATTTTCCAAAACATATTTAATGTACAGATTCGGCTTAGTTAGAATTTAATTAGATGTATAGATTATTGGCTATACCTGCGTTTTAGTACTTCTTTCGTAGATCTGCTTGTTGCTTCTTCGGCTGAAGCTTTATGCCAGATAGTTTTTAAGATGTGTGTTTGTTTTTGGTTACTTCATTCTAAAACGTCTGGACGGATTTGGATGAAATTTGATACATAGATAAATTAAGATCTGGAGTAACTTATAGGCTACCTCTATGTTAGATCGAAGCAAAACAAATATACCCTATATTTGATTGATAGACAATTTACTAAACTATAGATAAGTAATTAGATTCTTTGTATTTAAATCTAAGACATAATTATAATAGATATTATGTATTTTTAAATTTATATTTGGAGGATCTACGATATACTTTGACGGCACGATTGGCTCAATTAGCTGTGACCTTACTTGCTGTGGCGGGTTCGAGTCCCGCTGGGGGCATTCATTTATGGTTAAATATGTGTATATTTAAAGTTATAATTATACCTATGTGTAGTGTATCAACTATCTGGTATCCATAACACAAGCTTCTTAGCTTACCATGAAACTAGATGGTGCTGTGTGTTAATGTCCCTACATATATATCTAATAGATACACCAACAGTGTCCACCTGTCTGTTTAGTTGCGTGATTTTTTTAAAACTTCTGTTGCCAGAAAAACCGCAGGCTGTAGCTTGTATATTAATTTAACATAATATATATCAATTAACGTGAGCAATAATACAAGTACAGACGTAATAATTAATAAAGTGCTTTTGCATGTCATCGAAATTAGATACATATGTTAATTCAATTATGATGTAGCAATACAAAAATAGTATAATATGTAAACGATATAGATTATACTTATTGATTAGTGGAACAGCTCCACCAATTATTCTATACTTTTAAAGTTTTCATTAAATTTTATTGTATTTATTCGGCCCATTTTTATTGTCCCACTGCTGGGCACGGGCCTCCCTTCAATACGAGGGGGATCAGGCCATAGTCCATCAAGCTGGCCAAGTGCGGGTTGGTGGACTTCACGTGTCTGGCGAAAACTTGCTAAGTTCTCTATAATATACAGATAACCTCACAATGTCTTCTTTCACCGTAAAGCAAATGGTAATTATGTTAACAATAATTCGCACATGAGAATATCAGTGGTGCTAGATCCCCCCCATAACGTGCGTTCACCTTGTCGTGGTGGGGGCGCTCAGTAGTAGTAGCGAAGCTAAGAAACGCACAGGGAGGTTGCCCACTTCGGTGGGCGGTGGGAGGTGGCCCTCTTCGGGGGGCGGTGTACCTTGCGGGTTGCTCCTGGTACTTCTCTGATAGCAGAGTGGACCTTGGAGCAACCCCATGGTTGTGGTGGTCTGCTTCGGCAGACCTGCCGTCGGGGCGTCGTAGTTGAATGCGTAAGCGATCCTGCGACGCCCCATTAAGACGGGAGAAGGTTTTGTTGGGTTTTAGTGGGTAGTACTGGCTGTATTACACAGGTGAGTCCCACGCATCGTGCGTAAATGCATTTCCCAACGTTAAAAAAAAAAGAAAAAAAAGTGGTGCTAGATCCGGGATTTGAACCCGTTTCCCTTGGGTTTCCAAACAAGCGCGTTACCACTGGACTACCACTGATATAATTCATCAAATTGTCTCTCTGTCGTGTATTATTTCAAAACTGAAAACAAAAAATGTCTAAGGGGATAAAGTAGATCTCAAAATTGATATACTAATTTACACATTTTGAAAATGTTTATCAAACGTTTCAATATAGAAATGTTTTTTATAATGTAGAAAATGTTGAAGAGAGCTGATGAAACTCATTAAGATAATGAGGCTTAATGACGGTGGGTTAAACGTCTAATTGTTATATGCTGAAATATCGTGTGCCTGAAACATGTATGGTAAAAGTTAGAAATAATAAAGTATGGCACTAAAACTGTTTTACAACATAAATAAATGCCTATGTAAATATATTTTTTATTAATTATTTCAAGTTTAATATTTATGGCTTATTAAATATTCCACAATATGTAAATTAGAATATCAATTTTTATATTATATTTCATAGGTCTTTGCCCTTTTTTCCAGAAATTTGACGTAAATTTCATATATAAATATGTACGCTGTAAAATTTTAGGCCTTTGAGTCCATTAACCTGTTTAGAACGTTAATGAATCAGTTATTTAGTAATTCAGAAAATTGTATGTATGGATAGGGATATCTATCACCATATACATAAGTCGAACCAGCGATCCCCTGCGTAGCACGTAATGCCAATAATATCTTAAATTTTAGACACCTAATTTTGCTTAGCTTATATAATAATATGTCAATTCCATATATTTTTTTAGTTTTCTATAGGTAAGCTATAGCTACTGTACACTAAGATTTTACGTCTAGGTTTAATAGATTGGCCTATTTTTCTATTTTTCCAGTAATCCAAAATGGCTAAAAGTGCTGAAGCTGAAGTGGAAAAGATGAAAATGCTTGAAGAAAGAATAAAGGCGCCATCTATATGGGGCCGCGTACCGTGCGGGGTTCGTTTCGAAGACTTACAAGATAGACGATATGAAGACGCTGTACGTTTGTTGAAGAAGCATTACTTGCCTGAAGAGGTGAGGACCTAAAATAATATATCAAGTTAGCAGCAAAAATATTTTTGAAATAAACCGTATTTTGCAAATTCATACTAATAAAATAATCATATTATAAATGAAATTCTAGTGTTTATACGTGATTTAAAAATATTTACCATACCATTTATATATGTATACTCCAGACTCCTATAGCAATATACGGTAAAACTTTCTAGTTTTAAGATAAACAGGACTTCTTGTGGGTGGTACATATCTATAATATTTGCTTCGTAAGGGTCACACAATGCCGCAAAATTATTTTAGAAAATTACTTATAGTGACTTACGATTTTTTATAGCTTTTAAGCACAAAGTTTTTTGCACCAATAAAGATCAACCTCGACCTATCTTCCCACCCATATCTATAGAAACATTATAAAGAGGAAAGTTTTTTTTGTTTGTTTGTACCGAATAAGCTCCGAAACTACTAAACCGATTTAGATGAAGTTTTATAAGAATATAGTTTGAGACCCTGGGAAGGGCATATGATAGTTTTATCCTGGAAAGCATCCCTTAAGGGGGTGGGAATGGGGATGGAAGTTTGTATGGGGAAGCAACCTAGAAAATCCGAGCCAAGCGAGGGTGATTTGCTAGGTCGGTGTATGTATTGATACAGCGGTATACTACTGATATGGACCAATACGCGGGATTATTTAGTATAGCTCTTAGCTACTCAAATTAAGTATTGACTGAAGTCACTGTTATATATCAATAAAACTTTACACTGCCTAAATACATTAGTATAAGGAAATCTTCAAGAATTTTTATATTTTTAAGCATAATTCATTTCAAATAAAAGTAGGTCTAATCATTTTATTGCCCAAGGTAACCATTTATCTTAAAAAGCTTTTAAAGTTCAAATAAACCAATGCAATTATAAAAAGCAATCTATAAATGCTTCGTCGGATTCCCAATATTTAATTAAGATGAAAAAAAGATGGATTGTTCGGAACAAAGTCTCGATTTATTTAATTACATTACCGAAGGGAGAGATGAAAAAAATAATCGCGTTAAAGGTTTAATAGGGGTCGGTTTTGGATAGATTTGTGATTTTCATGACTTTATCGTATATCTATACATATAATAAAATTCTGAGTGGAATCTGTACATTAAATATTTTTTGGAGAATCTTATTGAAATAGACATTATTATCGATTCAGAGGCAGTATCTATAGCTTTTAGAATTTTTGTCTGTCTCTCTGTGACCGCACCACAGGAAAACCATTGGATTTGGATGAAATTTGGTATGATAATAGCTGGTTATCCGGGTCAACGTATAGGATACTTTTTACTGCAGAAAAATATCTCATCTCTGAGAAATCTATACTAAACGTTACAACGCAAGTAGGGTGAACCCGAGTGGAGCGAGGTTGAGTCGCTACTAATATAAATATGAATTTTAGTTTCAAAATGCTCATAATAAAAATGGATAGACTGATCATTAGTCACCCTTTTTTTTTTAACGTTGGGAAATGCATTTACGCACGAGGTGTGGGACTCACCGGCGAAGCCAGTACTACCCACTAAAACCCAACAAAACCTTCCCCCGTCATAATGGGGCGTCGCAGGATCGCTTATGTACTCAACTACGACGCCCCGACGGCAGGTCTGCCGAAGCAGACCACCACAACCATGGGGTTGCTCCAAGGTCCACTCTGCTATCAGAGAAGTACCAGGAGCAACCCGCATGGTACACCGCCCTCCGAAGAGGGCCACCTCCTACCGAAGTGGGCCACCTCCCTGTGCGTTTCTTGGCTTCGCGCCCGGTTGGATTGCCGGGCACTACTGAGCCCCCCCACCACGACAAGGTGAACGCACGTTAGGGGGGATCATTAGTCACCCTACACTAACTCTAACTTTTGACTTCGGTGAATCTAGTGGTCCGTCTTCCATTCTTATGGGTTGTTGGTGAAATCGGGCATTAATCTCGTATCAGGTTAACTTGGTCTTCAAAAATTTTTCATCTTCTGCATCATCCATTTCTATCATGATATCTTTTGTAACCATTCTTTCGTAATTCATTCAATCTACCCAAAACGCTTGAATATTCCTCCAAAATTCAAAGAATCTTTAGAAGAAAATCTAAAACTCCTCTTAAATATGAATATAGCTTTCCCATTCAAAGCCTTTCCGGACTGCTAATTAAATTAATTTAGGCACATCGTTCAATGAAAAAAATGCGTTTCCATTTAAACCTATTGTTATACCCTCTTTTATTATTGAATAAAGGGTTCTCTCAATACGGATTTAACTCGCTCAGTTGACATTATGACATATTGATTTACATGTTAAGCGTGGACGTTTTATGAATAAATAAAAAATCGAACCGATTTTATATATTGCATCAATTCAAACGTTGCTAGTAATTATTAATTAGTTAATAGCATGCTGCTGTGGCACCGTATTAGCATATTAATTTAGAGATTTTACGGGTATTGACGACACGTTTGGCTCAGTTTGTAGTGCTTGTTGTGGTACTTGCTGTGCCAGCGGTCGCGGGTTCGAGTCCCGCTGGGGGCATTCATTTGTGTGATGAGCGCGATTGTTTGTACTCTAGTCATGGGTGTTTATATTTATAATATGTATTTATTTAAAGCTATATATGTGTGGTGTATCAACTATCTAGTATCCATAACGCAAGTCTCCTAGCTTACCATGGAACTAGAGGGTGTAGTGTTACTGTCCCAACATATTTATTAATTATAATTACTAATCATATTTTGCACGCTAGCGACGTACAGTTATTTCGTTCGGTCGCATCCCTACGTGCCTAACAGTAGCCTGTGTGTTACTTCAGGTCAACTTCGTTGGCTATCTGTGTACTGAATTTCATCCAAATCTGTCCAGGCGTTTTGGTGGAAGGAGTATGAGTACCAATTTTTTTAATAATATGACATATTTTTCCTTCTGAGCTCGAATAAAGGTTTTCTTACTTTATGTTTTTAGGATTTACGAGTATATTGCGTTGCGAACTGATGTACTGGTAGGTGCTATTATGTCGCTAGTTTTTGTTTAAGTAATTGCTTCAAGCAGGAATAGAACATGCGATGTTATAGCGCAAGACGATATTAAGAGATCTTTATATTTAAAATACAATAAAAAAATCATTTTTATTAATTAACTTTCAAAGTAGAAATATTAATTAATTCATAATATTTGGTTAAATTTTAATTTTTAGCAGCCAATTTTATTTATTAGTCTATAATCTAATTTGTAGAGAGATTCAACGAGCTTTATAATAAAAGTAAATGTTTACTAAATATAAAATCTTTGGTCATAATTAAAATACTCCTTTAGTTAATGTTGTATAAATAAATTATTAATAAATTTTTTACACTGTATATATTTGGGATATTGCCGCTATTTTTAATACATTCAGCATGTTTTTTATTTGTTTTGTTACAGTGGTTGCAAATTGCAAAGTTATCTATACTATAATATTGTAAAGAGGTGAAGTTTGTGAGTTTGTGACGTTGTAGGGGGTAATCTCTGGATCTACTGAACTGATTTAGATGAAATTTGGTAAGAAGATAGTTTAAGACTCTGGGAAGAAGATAAGACTTTTTGTTCCGGATTTCATCTCTTATGGGGGTGAAAATGGGGATGAAAGTTTGTATGGGGAATCAACCTAAGGACCCGAGTGAAGCGAGGGTGAGTCGCTAGTTTTAATATAAGCACCCAGCAAGAAATCTACCGTTTTCAACCTATCAAAAACAATTTATATTCTGGGTTAACACTAAATTACGAAATTTTTTATTATACTCCGCAAGTGGAGCCGCGGTCTAAAACTAGTTATGCACGAACTATCTTCTATGTAAAATATAAAAACTAAAAAGTTAAAAATTCCAAGATGGCTACGAAAGTACTCGTCCTATTAAGCGTTTTAAGTCTTTCATTCTCACCTAATTACTTTCACCTGTAATTTGTTAACAAACTTTGAAAGTGGTTCGTGTTAGTTTGGCCTAGATTTAAGTTGTGGTTAGGCTTTTAGGTAATCGATTCCTTTGCAAGTAAATTTTTGGTGCAATATCAAGGTGGAAATTGGAGACTGTTTATACTGTGTATGTTTGATCATACGAATAGCATATGCTATTTAGGCAAACATTTTCAAATTCTTAGGTTAGTTTAAAGTTGTAGATATTTGTATCGTATACAGTCAAAAAGTCAATTAAAACTGTTTTATGTAGAAGAATGTATATATTATGACTCTATTTATGCATATGAAAAATTCGTAGAATGTTAAGAATAAAAAAAAATCATACATATATTGTCTTACAATCAGACTAGCGACTCATCTTCGCTTCGCTCGGGTTGATTGAACTTTGATACCCATTTCAACTCCTTAAGGGATCATTTCTCGGATAAAACTATCCTATGTCCTTACCAGGGTCTCAAACTATATTCTTACTAAATTTCATCAAAATCGGTTCAGTACTTCCAGAGATTACTTCCTACAAACCAACTCACAAATTTACTTTACCTCTTTATAATATTAGTGTAGATAACGTTAGCCTCATGGCTCCGCTCCTTAGGATCTTAGCGTTATTAAAGAAGTTTGTACCTTCCCTAATAAATATACTATACAATAAAAAAATGTAATGAGACTGGTAGTCCCAGAGATTAACATGTTATCAACTAAAAAGAATCAAACTTCTCAATTTTATATATTGACTAGCATTTCCCGCGGCTCCGCCCGTCTTCAGATAATCAAAAATTAAAGTCTTAGGTTTTACATTTTATAATATTCTTTCACATTGCAGTTTTTGCATTTTTTCTCAGAAATGAGATATTTTCCCGCGGTAAAAAGTATCCTATATGTTGACCCGGATAACCAGCTATCACCATACCAAATTTAATCAAAATCCCTCCAGTGGTTTTTCCGTGATGCGGTAACAGACAAACAGACAAAAATTCTAAGAACTATAGATTCGGCCTCTGTATCGATAATAATGATTTTAATAAGATTTTCCAAAAAATATT